CCCCAAAACCCCAAAACCCCAAAACCCCAAAACCCCGGATGTAGGTATTATAATTGATTATTTAAATAGCATATTAGAACATAAAAATGGAATCAGAGAAATCTCCCCCTGAAAAGAAAGTAAGCATCTACGTGGACGACTTCATGGACGAGGAAGAAGAGAAGAGAGCATTCCAGCAGCCCCTTCCTGTTAAGAAAAGTCGTGGGGATTTCGAGAAGGTAAGTTCACTACAAGTTTTTATCCTAGCATATCTCCTTAGATAATAAAAATATGGGCTGCTTTTCATTTGCAAGTTATGAAATTGAGGCTCCAATGCATTACGTAGCTGGACAATGATGGAAGTGCGACTGGAAATCGCAATTTTAAAACCTTTGATCTTACCACAGATTTGGATGTGGATGGAAAATCATGAAGTTAACCAAGAGAACTCATTCCTAAGATGAATAGTACAGATAGTCCCTTTTGATACCCTGAGTTTAGATCATCCTTACTATGGGAATCCTAAATCTTCTCTATAGAAAGTAAATGATAGAGTCAAGTTAAAATAAAGAACTCTTCATCTACCAAAGAACTGGCTCTGTATACGAATTCTATGAATTTACGGGTAAAGTTTTAGGTGAGGGAGGTTTCGGCCAAGTTCATGAAGTCAAAGAGAAAGACACTGGCCGCCTCCTCGCTTGCAAACAAATTCCCAGATCCAAAATCCGCAACCAAATGCGATTCATCAACGAAGTGCTTGCTCTCAAGAACTGCGATCATCCCAACATTGTCAAGCTATATGAAGTGTTCGAAGAAGAACACGATGTGTTTCTGATTCAGGAGAAACTCAATGGCGGTGAACTCTTCGACTACATCACAAACAGAGACTACTTGACGGAGGCCGAAGCAGCCAAAATATTTTCGCAGATCATCAAGTCTCTGATTTACTGTCACAAGATGAAGCTGATCCACAGAGACTTGAAGCCAGAAAACTTTATGTTCAAGTCTAGCAAGCCTAACTCTACATTGAAGCTCATCGATTTCGGGTATGCTAGGATTTTCCAGAAACAAACCAATGAAAACAAGTCAAAGATATTGAGAATGAGGTCCAAAGTCGGTACTGAGAACTTCATGGCTCCAGAAATGATCCTCCGCAACTACTCCAGCTCCTGTGATATCTGGGCTGCCGGAGTCATCCTCTACATCATGCTCTGAGGATTCTACCCGTTCGAAGGCGAAGACGAAGAAGAAACTTTCAAACTCATCGAGAACATTGAGTACGACTTTGATGATGAAGTGTTCGATTCGATCTCAGACGAAGCCAAAGACTTGATCAACAAGATCTTGACACCAGAGAAAGACAGGATCACACTTGAACAGGTTCTCGAACACCCTTGGATCATCAAAAACCTTGAGGAGCCTGATGATGGAGCCATCAACACAAACTTGATTGACAGACTCAAGAAGTTCTCGAAGAGCACCAAACTCCGTAAAGCAGTTGCAACTCTGATTGCAACACAGGTGACAGACCGGAGTGTGTTCGAAAGCACGAATGCCTTCAACAAGATCGACACCAACAAGGACGGCTACATCACTCTAGACGAGCTTGAGAGAGGAATGGCTTCTCACCCGACTCAAGTCAAGCACATCATGGACCAAGTCGACACTGACCAGAACAACAAAATCAACTATAATGAGTTCATTGCTGCTACACTAGAAGACAAGACTCTAAAGAACTGTTTCAGTATCAACAAAGCTTTCGATTTCTTCGACAAAAACAAAGACGGCCAGATTGATAAAGACGAGCTACAGGAAATCCTCCAAGACTCAGACATTGATAGGGTGGAGACCAACATCATCAAAGGGATTCTCCTTGAATGTGATGTTAACAATGATGGAGTGATCGACAAGAAGGAGTTCTTCAGATGAATGAGTCTTAAGAGGCAAGATCCTTAATACTTTCTCATATAAATTGTTTGCTTCAATTTTCATTTGTCATACATTTCCTCACTTGATCAAATGGGACTAGAAAATAGCTCTTGTAGTTGTGAATTGAAGTGACTAACGCTTAAAAATTTCGACATTAAATAATTTAACACAAACATGATTATATAATTAATGACTTCTTTCATCAAATCTAGCTTCCCAAGGGGTTTTGGGGTTTTGGGGTTTTGGGGTTTTGGGG